ATACACTTCACTTCAGAACAGGGTATCAAAAATTGGCTCGATTCATTCTTGGCTTCAAAAGATGAACGCTTCTTCCGCGACGGAATCCATAAATTGCCAGAAAGATGGGAAAAAGTAGTGGATAGCGATGGACAATACTTTCAATAATGTATTAATTCATTTTATCATTCAAATAAATGCGTTTTTCAAGCAAAAAAACGGACCGAATTAAGTTGTACACCCAATATTTTTGACGATTTTTTACTCTAATATATTTTTATATGCAGAATTACCAGAGAAATCGACTTATGTTTAAAAAACTATATCATTCTGTATAAAAATTTCAATGTAACTTTGAAATTAGTAAAATCAAACTTATTTTATATACAGGGTGTTTCGGAACAATCTACGAAGCTCATGAAAACGAAAAACGGGTTAAAATAAATATAAAAGTCCTATACAGTTTTGCGATATTCATAATAATAACTGAGAAATTAATTACGAAAGATTAAGAAAAAGCGTGTACTGAATGGTAGAAGACTAACCGCTCGAGTCATAGCGCAGCCCAGTAATATAGCGCGCGGATGTTGCGCGTGGCGATTGGAAGATAATGCACCACTGTCTATACTTGTACCACTGTGCTCGTACATCTTGCCTCGGTATGTGACTTTTACATTTATTTTAACCCGCTCTACGTTTTCACGAAAGCTTTGTAGATTGTTCTGAGATACATTGTATATCCAACATTACACATCGCTTGTCAGAAAATTTTCAACAGATTCGAAATATCTTTCTTTAGATAATGTTTACAGAATTCATTTTACCATTTTCCATGTACTCATTAGCAGATATTCTTTAAGACTCTTTGTACCTCGCCACGGCTATATTGGATTTATAACGTTAAAAGCGAAAAATGACACGTTGATAAAAGTTGCTATTTCTAAATAAAGATAAATACAGACGAAAGAGAACTTAAGATCGCTTAGCACACTTGTAAAATTTTCCGAAAACTATTCCTTTCACTTGACGATCAGTAAATAGTCGTATAAAAAATGATAAAATGAAGCATGGCAAAATAGACTCATTTCATCATTTCATGTGTTTCATTTCTCCATTTATTATTTATTAAGGGAAAGGTATATCTTTTGGATAATTTTACAAGTGTGTTTAAGCAGTTTCAAACGCTTTTTTGTCCATATTTATCTTTATTCAGAAATGGCACGCACGTCATTCCTCGCTTCTGACATCACAAATTCGACATGGCCGGAGAGGTACAAAAAGCTTTAATTTAAGCTCCTTGTATTTTGCCGCGATTATGTTGAATTTGTGATATTAGAAGCGAAGAATAACATATACTAGAGAAGGTTGCATGCTATTTCTAGATAAATATAGACAAAAAACATTTGAGATTGCTTGCATATCTGTAAAATTGCATATTTGTAAAATTTTTCGAAAAATATTTCTTTTTCTTGACGATTAATAACGTACAACAAATGGTGAAATGATATATGCAGACAAAACACACATTATTAAAATATTAAAGATATTAAATAATATATAAAATAATTATATAACCAAGTATATTATTAAATAAAGATGTGATATATGGTAGTAAGACATCAATAAAAATCCAAAACCATTCGATCTAATTATTTTGCTGTTAATATTTATTGGAATAAGGCAAAAGAATGCAAAATTATTTCACCATTTCATATGCCTCGTTTCCCTATTCATTATTCGACTATTTATTGATTATCGACTAAGGGACTTTCTTGTCCAGTTTGCTCTATATATGTATAAGCATTGATACAATAATTATTAGATACTTTGTACAATATTCATAATATTAAACAATCCACTATCTAGTTTAAAAAATTTGTAATAAACTGTTCTAAATTGTTTTAAACTTAGCACATGTTATCTTTTTTTATATGTACAAAACATAATGAAATAAAAGATTTGTATATGTAAAATAATATACATACTAAATAATTTCATAGCTTGATCACAAGTTTCAGCTTTCCCTGCTAGATGTTTTATCGCCATCACTGCTCCCATAACACCTTTGCATTTTGTGCTAAAATGTGTTATTTAAGTTTAGTTTAATCAAATTGATATATATACATACATATATATACATATATATATATATATATATATATATATATATATATATATATATAAAATCATGTAAATAATATTTATGATAATTATATAATACTTACACAGGTTTAGCAGCAGATAGTTGTTTTTGCAATAGTATAAACAAATCATCTCGTAAAGATTCTGAAGTAGAATCATCAACTAAACATAAGCTGTGTAATAAATCATTTAAAGTGCCAATTTCTGGGAGTCCAAAGCGATCTATTTTTTCAAGTAAAATTCTTAAATGATTACATTGCAACACTAAACAATTTCTTTCAATGGTATTTTCTGCCATTTTACAAAGTACAATCAATGCATGTTTTACAGTTTGATCATTATTACCCATGAGAAGAATAATCTTTTCAATAATCTCACGCTGTTTAAATAACATGTCTTTCTGATTGAGAAACTGCAGACGAAACCATTCTATTGCAAAATTAACAAACACATGTTCTTCAGATTTCATCAATTTACCAGCTAATTGTAGTGCTGATAAGTGCAATTCTTGAACAACCTAAAAATAGATATAAAATGTTATTCATGACAGTATTTTACTAAATAAAAATTAATTTTATAAATTTTTGTTTGCATTAAATATACAAACCTCTTTGTAATCATTATAAAGTATTAGAAGTAGACTTGTCCTGTAAAAACCACATCTTACATTCTGTTTCCATAATGATTCTGCATTCTTTTGCCTTATTGTTCCAGCAGATATTAACAGCAAAATAATCAGATCAAATGGTTTAGGATTTTTATTGATGTCTTTTACTACCATTATTGCAGTGTGTATCACATCTTTATTTAATAACATACACATCTTTAATGATTTAATAATCTGTACTTGATTTTTGTAAAAATCATCTACTTTATCACCAGCAAGAGGCTGCATTTCTATGTCACGTAGTATAAGTAACATTTGCTTGACAATATCTGGTGACACATAGTCATTAAGAAGGAATCTGCAATTTATTTAAGTTATTGTAATATTAAACCAAAACAAATATAAGATAAATTTAAAGTATCTTAAATGTTGATGTACCTGATAATAGATGGTATAAGTTGTAACTTTATATTTATTTTCAATAAATTTAATACTTTAATTTTATATTCCATTAAGTATTCTTTGTTAAGATTAAAACTTGTGATACAATTTAAAATTACATTTGTTAATTCAGAATTTTCCTCCATTATTTTTGTTAGAACTTCAGCTATGCTTTGATGTTGACTATCTAATAAAATATCAGGCAAAAATAAGATGAGTTCATGTTGAAACCACATTGGGCATGTCTCTAGTAGTTGTTCTATGTTTGCAGTTAATATATCAACATTGACTATAGTATCCAAAAAACGAAACTGATGTAATACTGAAACAGCCCAAGGTATTTTCTCTGGTGTATTCCTATAAAAGTAACAAATTTTTTTAACTTTAACAAAATTTTTAGTATTGTAGTACTTTTAATATTGTAATTATTAAATATATTATAAACAATTAATATTTAGAATTATATGTAATAGAATATACTTACACACATAGAACAGATTCATTGAGTTTAGATATGAAGATATTGTATATATCTGTTTGAATTTCTGTAGCTTCCAATAATATTCTTGCAAGAGATACACTACTTACAACAGTAAAATCTCTATTATCAATGGATATTTCAATGTTATTCAATATATTTAAAAAACATTTATTTTGAACATATTCCTCTATGGAATCAATTATATCTTTTTTTTTAAATCGTTTTGAATTTAATATTGTTTTCATTTTCTGTTTGGCAATGGATGGAGATACATCTAAAAAAAGAAGAAAAAATTAATATAGAAAATGTGATATTTAAAAATAAAATATATACAATAAAAATACATACTAAGAATACATATACCATCAGTTGACAACATAATCCCACATTTCTTTAAAAAGTTAACAAGAATAGATGGTTTATCCTGTAATTCTTCCTGAAGAATATTAGGTACTATCATTGGTTTACTAGATGATGCATGATTCAAAAAAGACGACTTCTTATTTGAACTATTGGTATTATTATTTTGACCAGTATATTGTTTCTTTGTATTGACTTCATCATACTTTTTCTTCTTTATATATTTGTTAGATAAAGATTCAAGATCACTATCAGAATCTGTAGTACTAGAACTTTTTTTACGTTTCTGTGATATTGGTTTCTCTTTCACAGAAAGATCAGCTGTCAAAGGTTTGTTAATTACTAATATCTCATTTTGATTACTGCTTTGTTGACTTGTACAAGATATATCTCTTGCTAATGTTAGATTATTTGTGGAAATTAATGTTCGATTTTTTGGTAGTTTACATGTAACAATTAAACTGTTTCTTTCCAATAAATCTTCTTCGTTTTTAAAAGAGCCCTTTTTATTATTTTCAGCAGAATTACTTCCTATTAGTGATCGATTTAATACTGATGATTCAATATTCGACAATTGTCCATCATTAAAAGAATGATTCCCATCTTCCATTGTATTAAGATCTATTTGTTTACTACTAGTACCAGAATTAATCCTTTCTGATGATTGTTTCTCTAGTTGCAAGTTCTTGTGTAAACTTTTGAACATAAATTTTCTTTTATCCATAGTGCGAAAATTTCTTCTTTTCCGTTAATATTCTGGATATTAAAAACTTTTAAAATGTTTTAAAATGTTCTTGATATAATATATAATTAGCAAATAAAATGGAAAAAAAAACATATAATGTAATTTTATTGTCTTATGTGCAACATATTTTATTCACTATTAAAAATTACCTTCAGTTATAAACGTAATTAATTCTTTGCTTTATTTTCCGCCAAAAGATCGAATCAGTTGATTAAACCATAAATAATTTGTACACTGATATGCATCATGCCTTTATTCTAGGGTACGTTCAGATTCCCTACCCGGGTGGACTCTAATACTAGAAGTGCTATAGTATATGTAACATATACTATAGTGTTTCTAGTAATAGAGTGCATCCGGGTAGGGAATCTGAACGCACCCCTAGAGATGGGACATCAATAAGAAATAATCGATTATGGCCCATAGGCCGGTATTCATAAAGTCCATTCTACAATTGCATAAGCGTAGTCGTGAACGTAAGGGCTATCGCACACAAATTGACATAACTGCATATACATAGCATAAGATTGTATGGACCAATGAGCATCGAATATTAAGCATCGAACACCAATATGGCGACTTAATACTCGATGCTCATTGGTACATACGGTCTTATGCTATGCATATGCAGTTATGTCAATTTGTGTGCGATAGCCCTAAGAGTCAACCAATCCGAATGTTTTATTCACTGATTGCTTTACTCTAATAGGTTGTCGTAATCACTTAAGCCCATTCTACAATTGCGTAAGCGTAGTCGTGAACGTAAAGGGACGTCTACATTGGAAGTAAGCAGTAAGAAGTAGGAAGTAAGAATAAGAAATTGACCAATCATAGTTTATTATTCTTCTCACATTCGACTATGGTTGGTCAATTTCTTATTCTTACTCCTACTTACTTCCAATGTAGACGTCCCTTATGAGTCAACCAATCCGAATGTTTTATTCACTGATTGCTTTACTCTGATTGGTTGTCGTAATTACTTACAACCACTTACAATCACGTTCACGCAATTGTAGAATGGGCTTAAAGCCCATTCTACAATTGCGTAAGCGTAGTTGTGAACGTAAAGGGACGTCTACATTGGAAGTAAAGCAAGAAGTAGGAAGTAAGAGTAAGAAATTGAACAACCACAGTCGAATGTGAGAAGAATAATTAACTATGATTGGTCAATTTCTTATTTTTACTTCCTACTTCTTACTGTTTACTTCCAATGTAGACGTCCCTTAAGAGTCAACCAATCCGAATGTTTTATTCACTGATTGCTTTACTATGATTGGTTGTCGTAATCACTTACAACCACTTACATCCACGTTCTCGCAATTGTAGAATGGGCTTAAGAGGTTTGCTTGAGTAGCTTGTACTTTTCACACTTTTACACCTAATGCCCGTTGCACACTAGTGCACTCCAAACAACACAAATTTTAAAATATACATTCTGAAGACGTTTTCAGGACGGAGAGACGTCATCAGAATATTCTTAGGACGTCCTTTAAAAGTGTGAATTGTCTGAAAATAGTTAATATCCAATAAATTTATTCACATTAATTGAATGTTTTACACTTTCACACTTAGTGCACATTAATTCTTTAGAGGTTCTAAAAATGGGGTCATGTTTTCCGTTCGTGTTAAGCCCGTATCAGACTACGGATTAAGATTAAGATTGAATTGAAAATTGGCCAATCAGAGCAAAGTTCACCAAACTTGAGCTTAGTGAATTTTGTTCTGATTGATTAATTTTCAATTCAATCTCAATCTTAATCCGTAGTCTGATATGGGCTTTACAAGTGTAAATGCAATTCTGATACACTTTTCACTCTTGCTTGGGACAAGTGTAAAAAATGTATCAAAATTGCAATTACACTCGTAACACGAACGGACTCATGACGTCATTTTTAGAATCTCTAAAGAATTAATGTGCACTAAGTGTGAAAGTGTAAAAAGTTCAATTAATGCAAATAAACTTATTGGATATTAGCTATTTTCGGACAGCTCACATCTTCAAAGGACGTTCTAAAAATATTCTGATGATATCCCTCCGTCCTAAAAGCATCTTCAGAACGTATTTTGGAAAATTTGTATTGTATGAGGTGTACTAGTGTACAACGGACATTAGATGTAAAAGTGTGAATAGTACAAGCAACTCGAACAAACCTTAGGTTTGTTTGAGTTGCTTGTACTTTTCACACTTTTACATCTAATGCCCGTTGCACACTAGAACATCCCAAATAACACAAATTTTCCAAAATACATTCTGAAAACGTTTTCAGGACGGAGGGACGTCATCAGAATATTCTTAGGACGTCTTCTAAAGGTGTGAATTATCTGAAAATAGCTAATATCTAATAAGTTTATTCACATTAATTGAACTTTCTACACTTTCACACTTAGTGCACATATAAGCCAACGGCACACGATACTTGTTTTTATGCTGAATTGCTTGCTGATTGGTGCATGTCTGAAGATGGATGGAAATGCACCAATCATCAGAGTATTTCCATCCAACAAGCAATTCAGCACGGAAACAAGCACCATGTACCGCTAATTTAATTCTTTAGGCCGACGTCCCATGGGGCGGAAATTCTCCGCGTAACGGAACACGCGGAACCAGTACGACCAATCACAGCCGTTCCGCTCTTTTTTCTGCCGTTTCGCTATAATATTACCGCTGCAATTTTGCCGAAAGGTTAAAGATAGTCGCGGATAACTTCAACATATCTTACATATCTCATTTGCTTCTTATATATTTATTATATATATATATATATATATATATATATATATATATATATATATATATATATATATATTTCGACATTCTTTATTATTTCGTTCAGAAGTGATGAATGGAGGGATCGTAAGTAATAAGATGTTAATATTTTGATAATTATAGTAAACAATGATGTATTGTGAATAATTTGTGAATATGTTTATATGTTTATATGTTTAATCAACAGCCATAGTCGACAAAAATCACATAATATATTCTCCATAATTAATCACAATAGTTCTCACTTTATTGTACTACATAATGTATCATCGCAATTCCGCTGATGTACTTTTCCTTCTGTCACATGAAGCCGTAAACGCGGCAGCGGAATTATGTTTTAGCCAATCGTAAAATAGTTGCATATTTTCATAAAAAGTATTTTATTGAGAAACTAATTTTACTCTTTACTAATTTATCATGTATTATATCATTTGTATAAAATATTATTAAAATTATTAAAAACGTAAGAAATAACATTAAAAAGTCTACTTTTTGTATTATTCCGCGTATTCCGCTCCATGGAACACAAGGAAAATAGAAAAAGCGCCGGAAGAAAAGCAGAACGGCTATGATTGGTCGTGCTAACTCCGCACGTTCCGTTCCGCTGAAAATTTCCGCTCCGTGGGGCGGCGCCTCTTAACAATCTAGTTCAGTATAGACATCTGTGTAATCAGTGCGCTCTAGAGAACCTCTAGTAAAGAGAATCGCCAATATGGTCACGTGACTAGCTGATTGGCTGGCATAAATATGTACGGATTTGGACATTGCGACACCAATGCAGAAAAGATGGTTATTTTATGTGTATATATATATATATATATATATATATATATATATATATATATA